CATGAACACGTCTACATGACAATATTCAGATATAGTGATAGCGCCACCTACTGGCAACAGGAAGTAAGCGCTGCATAGCGACTTTGATCTGATTTGCGTGAAATTTTCATGTTGTGGTCCGCACGTGTTACGACGGCACGTGACGCGGCCACAGCACGCCCCGAGTTGCGTGGAGTGCGAGGGCCCACCCAACGCTGCTTGCAGCTTTAATTTGTATCATGGTTCTGTAATTCGCGTCATATAAATGTTCTAACAATGGGGGGATTTTGATGCCGAGATATTTAATACCATCTTCGGGCCATTTGAACCTACTCTGAGCCTTGACTGTTTGAGAAATTGTTGAGTTAAAGTTGATATTATTATCAATAATTATTATTATTATTAATATTATTATTATTAATATTATTATTACTACAGTTACTATTATTACTATTGTCACATAAATTCCATTTATGTCTGTATTTGCATTATTTTCATTAGACTGCATTCAAATACTACAGGTAGGACTACTGCCATTCAGTTAAGTACTGTTATCATTTTAACACTGTGACCATAATTATTGTTACTGTGTGTCAACTCACTTAATTAATTTAACACGCTCAGAAATATTCCAAACTTTGTTTTAATTTGACAAATAAACCAATTTCCTGAGTAACATATGAACCTCCACTTTAAATGTACAACTGTTCATTTGTGTAAAGGACAGTTAACTCCTTAAATGGTTTAATTATGACAGTTTCAGTTTAAAGCAGTGGATAGTAAAATAAAGGTTTATTTTTAGGCTACTTACACATTCAGTCAGTCTGATATTGTCTGCCACACTCTCTGTTTTATTACAGCGATTTTGTTTCCTTTTTCACATAATATGCATCTAGCAGTCATCCACAGGTCCCTCCTGGTGTTTCAGGAAGCGGATCAGACCTCCAGGCAGTGGTAACTTCTCCACCAGCTGACATCCAACCAGCTCTATTATCTGCAATCTGCAGAGCTGAAGGAGAGGCCGCGGAGGAGCTGGAAGAAAATCACACAAACCAGTAACATCACTGGAAACTATTACACAGACCAGTAACATCACTAACTAGTAACATCACTGGAAACTGTTACACAGACCGGTAACATCACTAACCAATAACATCACTGGAAACTATTACACTAACCAGTAACATCACTGGAAACTATATCACAGACCTGTAACATCACTAACCAGTAACATCACTGGAAACTATTATCCAGACCAGTAACATCACTAACCAGTAACATCACTGGAAACTATTACACAGACCTGTAACATCACTAACCAGTTACATCACTGGAAACTATTATACAGACCTGTAACATCACTGGAAATCTTTTTTTCACTGATGCGTGCTGGTGGAACACTTGATCAATTACCAGTTTATTATCAGTTATTGACTCACCCGCTTTGTCCTTGATGACGCTCCAGTCGGAGAAACTGTTCAGGTGTTCCATCAGTCTGGAGCAGAGAGGCACATTACCAACGTAGTCCAATAGGATGTCAATGATTGGCCCTGCCCACCGACAGATACTGGGGGCTGATATCATCTCACAGAACTGTCAGTCACAGAATAATCAATCAGTAACAGAATAATCAATCACATCATTCTTGATGACTTATTTAAATTCACCTGAACACCTCTAATTTGTTGTGTGTCTGTCAAGTTGCTGTCACTGTAGCGGAGGTGACCCCTCACTAATCTGCTGGTTTCGACTGGTGGATGAAGTTGGTTGCCATAGATACAGTCAAAGCAGGAGAGGGCGTGGCCTCCGTGGTCCAGTAGGTACTTGAACATGGGCAGGTACTTCATGGAGAACATGTAAACGGCAGGGAAGGTGGTGGGGTGTGTAGGGATGCAGGCGTTGATGTCAGCACCGTGCTCCACCAGCAAGGTGACGGTCTGGATGCAGCCCAGCCTCGTCGCCACCATCAGCGGCCTGAACACGTCCAGGTTCGGGTTGGCGCCAGCCGCCAGTAGCATGCGCACAGCGTCGATGTTGTTGTTAATGACAGAGAAGTAGAGCGCCGTGCTGCGCCGGTCTTCATATAGCTTTGATCGTTCTACAGACAGCTGAGCGTTGACGTCGAAGCCGGCCTCAATCAGAGTCTCGAGGATGTCATCACGGTTACGTTCAGCGGCAAGGTGGAGTGGACTGATGCCGGTCCGCCAGACTCTGGTCTTACTGGTGGCCTGGATCAACATGGAGACAATGCTGCAAACAGGAAACATCACAGGAATTAGATCAGAATTACTCCAACTCTGAGTTATTCAATTCAAATTCAATTCAATTTTATTTGTATAGCGCCAATTCATAACAGAATTTATCTCAGGACACTTTTAAAATAGAGCAGGTCTAGACCGAACTCCTTATAACATTTACAGAGACCCACCAGTCATCGAGACAACGATTGGCGCTGGGTGCGCGCAAACCTGCCTTTACACAGCGCGCAACAACTCAGGACAGACACTCGCTCTCGGTGGGTGCGGTTTGTTGGGCCGTTCAACCAGTACTGGGGATGGAGAAGAAGAGAGACACGGAGAGACAGACAGAGCAGAGAGAGAGAGAAGCAGACGACAGACAGGTGGCACAGCAACAACATAGCAACATACACTCAATAGTTAGAGAAGAAAAATTTCATTAAGGAAATTCAAAAGTTTATTTAAAATAAGGGTCAGATAGAAAAGGATTTTGTGGGAAGACTATTAAATGTTCAATATCAATGCAAGTTATACGATCAATAACTTCAGTTTGTCTCGATCAATATTTATTTGTTTATTGTTATTAATATGTCCTGTTCATAAACAATATATTAGTATAATTCAGTGTATTACTGTATTCTCACTCCTTTATACCAATAAAATGTTTTTTCTGACTCCACACAGACAGTAAACGTACGTGTCACTTCCTCTCTGGGCGGCGATGTGGAGCGGTAATAATCCCGTCTTTCCAGGTTTGTTGGCATCTGCTTTCTGAGAGAGGAGGAGCTCCACAACTTCTTCGTGTCCATTTTTAGTGGCTTCATACAGAGCGGTGGCTCCGTCAGCAGCCTGACTGTTAATGTCTGCACCTGCAGGGTCACAGGAAGGGTCAGGGGTCAGGGGTCAGTCCTTTTCTAAAAGACACATAACCCATAATTCTGAACGTAGCAGCTTTTTCACAAAGAGACAATATGACACAAAGTGAAAACAAGTTCTTCACTTATGAAGGTTTTAGCTTGTAAGCTTGAAGCAACAGTAGTTAGCACAGGAGAAGAAGGCTGTGTTGAAAACCTCCTGCTGTACAACACAATATAACATGTAGTATCCAGTATACAAACAAAAGTCAAATCTGCAGTATGCCAAAAGTACCCACGTCTTGAAAAATGTCCAGTATGCGTCAGACCAGTCTACCTCTCTTACCATATCCCACAATGCAAAGCACTGGAGCAATCACAATAGACCAACAACCGGAAGTTTTTCATTAATTTGTTTCATAAATTCACTTCTGAGAACATTTGAGGAGCGAAAACAACTGTGCAGAGTTTCGTCAGTTTGAACTGAAAATGTGCGCCAACAGAGTTGGGACGGTGTGCAACCGCCTGTGGAAGGAGCAAGGGAGCCAGCTGGCCAGGATGTGACTGACAGTGACATTCAAAGGTGTGTCAATATATCGTGACATCACCTTTTCAGGAAAACAAGAACCTTTTGAAGAACTTTACCTGTGTTTCAATCAGAGGAACCAGGGACTAAAGTCTGTGCCAGGTGTTCCCTTATTTCCAGTGTATATACTTTAACCTCAAATACACTGAACTGTATCTCAGGTCTGTCAGAAAATATAGATACAAATCATAAAGTGGATGTGGATGGATGTGTTTCATGATTATAAGTTGCTCTTTATACAATAAATACCATACCATGTTTGAGGAGGAAGCGCAGCGCCGCGAGCTGGCCGCTCTGAGCCGCAGTAAACAGCGGTGAGATGCCGTACATGTTGGTGAGGTTGTGTTTGGCTCCGGCCTTCAGCAGTATCTCACAGATCTCCATGTTGTTCCTGCACACAGCTTCCTGCAGGGCGGTCCAACCCTGAATACAGTGAGTGTTAACTGCTGCACCGTGGTTCAACAGTGCCACCACCATCGCAGCACTGTTCCTCTCACAAGCTGCAGAATAAGAAAGAAAGACTTAAGTTTATTAAAGGGACAGACCACCCAAACTATCTCCTCCAGCTTCGCTAAATCTAAATGACAGCTTATCAGAAAAAGGATTTCCTTCTGGGGTTTATTTTTACTTTTTAAGACCTTTGGAGACACTAAACCATCATTCTAAATCAGAACTCAACATATTTGGTATCAACAGGTACCTGATTGCAGGTGTGGGGAAGTTCAGCGGATACTCTGAGTTTAGTATCAGAAGCAGATCATTACATTACTTTTATTTATCTGAAGCTAGGGTTAGGGTTAACCCTGACCATGAAGATACAACCCATTAACTGTTCATACCAGTACATACAATTCTTTAAATGTGCTACATTTAGAAACAATGAGATGGAGAGGTTTCAGTCTGAAGGTGAGTTTATAGTTGTTTTTACTGATAATTCTTTTACTGTTACTTGTCTGTTACTATAAAATATTATTATTATTATTATTATTATTATTATTATTATTATAATTAGACATCCACTGAGGAAGAGAAGGGGAACCAGAACAGAACCCTGAGTGAGGCTACAAGGTTCTGACACAGATTGTACCCCATGAGGTCAGATGTGATCAGGGAGACCCTGAGTACCCTTAGACTACCAGTTCATGTAGGGGAGAGAGGAAGATCTGGTGGTTCACTGTCTCTGCTGAAAGGTCCAGCAGTATGACAAAACAGAACACCAGACTGGTGGGGGGTCCAGAAGATTGGTCTGGATGGAGAGCGAAAGTGTTTGGGGCAGATACTCTGATAATAGGTTTTGGATTGGTATTCAGTTTTGTCCTTTACTGCAGAGAAATTACAATAAAGTCCTATTTAAAAAAAATTGGATAAATGTAAGCAGTACAACAACATAATTTTGTGTCCTGAGAATATCGGACGTTTATTTTCATCCAGAATTTGGAGACCTTGTCCTCCTCCCGTAAACTACATGTGCGTGTGATGTCAGATGAACTGTGGCTCTGATGCTGTGATGTTAGGCCAATCAGTTTGTTGGGATGCTGACATCACTTCCTGTCATTTTTACCTTTGTAGAGCGGAGTCTCTCGGTCGTAGTTTGGGATGTCCGGGTCAGCTCCTCTCTCCAGCAGCACCTCAATACACTGCAGCCGCTCTTTGCTGATGGCAACAAGCAACGCTGACTCACCGCGCTCCGTTCGCTTGTTGATCATCCCTGGCTGAGCTGAGCACAGAAACAGACAGAGGACTGTGTGATGTTTTCGTGTGTGCATATATAAGAATATTTTATATATTTATATTGTATATCTACCTGACAGCAGCACTCTCAGACAAGTGTCCTGGCCATACCATGCCGCCTGATGAATTGCGAGCCAACCTGGTTTGTTCGGTAGCATCAGGTTTGTTCCTGAGCATGTCACCAATGCTTTCACTTTGTTTGCATCACCAACACGAATTGCTTTGAACAGAGGCTCCTCCTCCCTGTGGGAATAATACCCATCAGCTACCTGTCTCACCTGTCTGATATATCACTCCCTCCAGGATGTCACAGGCTTTGTTTGGGATTGTTGTGGCCTAACATTCCTGATTTCAGTTATTCTAACAATGCTTGTTGTCGTGACTTTAGGCAGTTCTTTTTGCAATGAAATTATGGGAGAATGAAAATTGCAAAAATAGTTGTTATTTTTTTAACAATATTATTCATTACAAAAGGAAGGCAACTTGATCCAGTGTGAATAAAAACTCTATCTTCTATCTCTTTTATTTACACAGAACTTGACTCACTCTTCAGGTTCTGGAACGATGTGGACCAAACTGCCGTCGGCCCTGCGATACGCCATCATCCTCTTCCCAGAACCCGTCATGAAGTGACTGATTGTCCCATCAAACGTCTTCCTGCCACAACAACACCAAGACAACAACCAATCAGAGCGCAAAGCTGGACTTAAGACCATGTTCAGAGGAATCATACTAAAACTTAAACTAGGACTGCTGGACTGGTTTTAGTGACTTAAAAAGTAAACATATGCAATAAAAGTTTCATCAACACACAACAGGAAGAAAATAAAACTGTGACATACGGATCAGGAGGCGTTTCACTTGGAGGATTTGGAGAACTGTAGGGGGCGGCAGTCTGGTCTGGAGGTGGATTATGGGAGCTGTGGCTTTGGTGGTTGTGGTTTCTGGCTGTAGGGTTCAGGCTGTTGCTGTCCAGGGGGTGAGGGGGTGAGGTGGCGACAGCAGCAGTGTAGCCTTGCGCGTCGGTCAGACTGCGCTCAATGGCGAGCTGCAGCAGCTCTTCATCACTCAGGTTACTATAGATAGAGTAATCCTCAAAGGTCAGAGCGGCTGATCCAGAGCGAGAGAGACTGGCGGCTGCCATGATGGCACTATGATTCACTGGCTGAAACAAACAGAAGAGAAACAAACTGCTGTAAAGAATTCTGACTTTCTGGAGAATGATGACGTATTTGTCTGACCAAAGGGAACAACTTATGACACAGAATAGTGAGATGTAATGAAATGTGCAACCTGTGGGAGGCACTAACAGAGTTTTATATTGTTGGTCTGTTTCTTTAAAGGTCCAATGTGTGTGAAGTCCAACCACAGACTTCCCTCCTCAGACCTTTCTCATGTAGGTATTATGGCCCCCTGCTGGTTGGAATAATTATTGCATTTTCTTTCAGAAATCATTTAATTCACATAATATTATTATATAAAATATATTATCTGTAGATGACTGGTGACTTTCGGCAGAATGGTTGCTTGTAGTGCAGATGTTGAAAACAGAACACATACTTGTCTTCTTACAAGCCTTTAATTAGGGTCCGAGCACAAATCGTGCAAAGGATCAATCATTCAGATTTGGACACAGCCATCTAAAGACATTCATGATTAAAAGTTGTGCTATTTACGACATTCCGTCAAACAGCGTGCCCGTGGCATGGAATTTCAAG